GTGTTGCGCTGTGACGTTCAACATTTTCAGCATCTGAGAAAAACACTATCCTGCGCGTGATCTAGGGGGTTGGTCTGTCCTCACTACTGGTTGTACTGACCCGCTGAAGTCCCGAGCTAATAAACAACTCTTCACGACATCTTGGTGGCCCATCCATGCACAAAGCACAGGGACCCATCTGACAGGTTGTCCTTATACGTCCAATAAATGCTTCCATTTGCCTCAGTTGTGGTCCTGCATCTTTGGAATGCACCCGAGAACCCGAGTCCGCCCCATGGATACGTACTGCATCCACGGCCACTTTCATAAATTCCATGAACAAGCCAAGTTCGGAAAGGAGGTCGTGTTCATGTATATCGGCGCGCCATTTGCACTCCTTTAGGATGTCAAGTTCCAGGGCGAGGACGCCTTCCTCCGTTAGAAACAAGTTGTTGCAAGACAACATCAGGCACTGCACCCACAATGAGCTAGTAGGTGGCTCATCCAGAAGGTATTTGGTTGTGAGAATCAAACAGCCGAGAAACATACGGTGAGGCATGCTGCTCGATCCGCTCCTCCCATATCCAAGGGCCGATCCCAATCGTCTAAGGTAGACTGAGCTAGCGAGGCTAACCTCGACCGGAATTTGCGAATAGTATAAAATTCGTTCAATGAAACACCGTAAAGAAGTTGATTCCATATCCTGCATAATTGGAACCAAACGCAACCCACCACACGCGCGGATGGTTACAAACTCTAAAAAGTCAACCAGAGCTCTAGAGACAGGCTCGTTCATCAGATTATCCAGGCCCTCGTCGTCTAAAATGCTTACAATAGCCATAAGGCTTGCGAGGAATAACACCAGCGAGTAATAGGTTTCATGCTATATTATTTATCAGAATTATCCTGGTATGTAATAGGTTTCATGTTATATTATTTATCAGAATTATCCTACGCTCATATAGACTACAGTATCCACACAGGCCGGCTTTAAATACATGCATTTATTTATGGTGGGAAATTCTTTACATAACCGAGACGATTCAGCCAGGTTACTGTATGACATTGGAAATTCAACCTTATGACCGTAGAATCCCCCCATCGTCTAAAAATAGACTACTCACGTCAGGGCCCTGCTCAGCCATCACCACAGTCATGTCTGCAATACGTGCTCCTCAGTTATTGGGAAGATTTGGATCCCGAGTGAAAAGCGCGGCCAAGTATGTATTATTGTTAGCTACGTACCTCACCGATTGCCAAGATTATGTACAGCAAAGTGTTCGCTCCATAGTCCGAGGCTGAAGGTTCCAATCATACAGACACACCTAATCAAGATTTGCAGCGTACGGCTGCACTTCTGAAATGAAGCCGGGCCGGCGGGCCTTTTAAAGCTGTGCTTCTACCAGAAGTCTTCTCCGAGCGCTCCCTATGCCAATTCTCTAGCCCAAAATCTGAGTCACATAAACCTGGGTAGTTCGGTGCCTATGTCCAATTCCTCATCAAGCGCAGAGTGCTCTATGAAGGACCCGTGGATGCAAGGTGTCTGTTTCACGGTGCATGGTGAAAAGCGGCAAGTTAGTTTGAGCTCAACCATCTCAGTGCTGCTGCCCTACATACCAGCCATGATGGCTGGATAACCTTGCCAGGGGTTTGGTGGAACCACTGGTGGTAATAGGTGCCACGGTGATTGGGTATCGAAATATGGCATTTGAGATGGTGGCAACAGACTTCCCATGTCCCAGAAAAGAGGGTCCATGGAAGGTTGAAAGAAGCTTTGTGAGACAAGGCCAGTCATGTCGTACGTTGTAGAAGCAAGTGACCCCGGCGTTTCCGCCTGTTCAATCATTGCACTGTCCACCATCTGGCTGGCCTCCACCTCGGTAGGGAGCTGTGGCGAACAAGAAGCGCCTGCAATAGAGAAGAGTTCCTCCATTTCCAGAGAAGACCCTTGTTCCTGTTCCTGACCGGGTCCGCTTGTCAGAGTCGACTGAACCGGCAGTATGATAGTCGGAGTTTTCACAAGTTCCTGGATTTGTCCGATGTCATTCTCAGCGGCTGCAAGCTTCACCTTCTGTAGTATAGTCATCATCTTGTTGATATGGTCCTTCTTTTTTTGTCTGTGCTTTTGCTGAGCTATTCGGTTTTTCTCCCTCTTTGCATTCTGTGTATTTTTATGTTCAGCAACTTTGGACCCAAATTCAGACATCTTGATTGTTTGTCGTTCATTACGAGTTCGACGACGTAGCTTTAAATAAAGAAAAGGGGAAGGCAGAAGCAGTTTAACGTGTTTCAAGGGGCTTGTGTCAGATCGCTGATCGCTGAAACTTCACCGTCTCTTGGATAACTTCTCAAATTGACTAGCATGTAAATATTTAGGCAATCTCGTGATGGTTGACTTTGGAGGAGTCAACGCTGTCATAGTCACCTGCACCTGTCAATTACCAAATTGGCCGGTCAAAATGTGAGAGCATGGAGTGGCTCAGCCGACAATATGAGGCAACGTTTCAGGTTCAAGGCTTGTGATGCTTATGATTGGTCTATATTAGGAGATCTGAAGTCCGTGATACCCCCTTTCTTTGATCACTCCAGCCTGTGAGAGCCACAACAAGCACGTGTGTACGCCAGCCTGATTTCATCAATGGCATGACATCTGCTCCATTACGTTTGTTCATACTTACAGTACTAACGTGCTATGCCGTAGTCTGCCCCCGCTTGGCGTCTACCCAGTCTCCTATTGGGGTCGTCTTTAGGGTGCAATCGGACAGTCTCAACAATCGGTCCATTTAGGGTAGTACGTCGCAGGTCCGCCACGCACTTTGCTATGTAGCAGCGAACGGGGCCATTAACGTATTGTAAAACATGTTCATTTGTTCTAAATATAGCATTTTTAACAATAAACTGGCCTTTGCATTGACTGCGCTTCCGTGCTTCTGCAACTGGGTTCCCGCGGATCTGGGAGGCGGTGCCCGTGGTGTTTCGTAGGACCCGCATCAATATGAAGGTGTTCCGTCTGCCTTTGGCGCCTTGTCAATGCAGATGTCCCGTGTAGTTTCGTTGGGTTCTTTGCTGCTTTCCACAACAGCATCTACCGCCAGGGATTCTAACACACGAGCAAAGGTGCATAATGCAAAATCCCTGGCACGTTTAGCCAACGCCAGCCATACGAAAGGTTCAATGAGGCGATGAGTTGTGGTGTTTGTCTGAGCGGGAGAATGGGTGGTCGCCAATACAATATCGAGCCATCTCGAGATATACCTTGAACCTGAGCTACTACTGGCTTTAAGTCTCAAGATGATGAAAAGAGCAATTGCCAACATTTTGATGATTCGAATTGTGCTTTGCACCAAATTTTCTACAATATGGAGAAGTGCAATGAGGACTAGGAGCCCAATCGAAGGGCTGGGGGTGATCGGCCAACAGAAGTGCAATGAGGGCTAGGAGCCCAATTGAAGGGCTGGGGGTGATCGGCCAATTACTCGGCATTATTGTGGTTAGCTGGCATGGGGAGTTCGTGCAGATACTGTCACTCTTATACCGATGCGGACACATCTAGGTGCTATTCCCGCACCACCCGTGTTGGATAAGAGATGCCCAAGTTCGAAGTGCAAAGCATTGTCTTGGGTCATCTCCGAGAATCAGAGGAGCTCCAAATATTGTCCCATGCACCTGTTCCGGACTCGGCACCACTTAGAAGACACATAATTTAATTCTAGTCCCACCTACGCATACTTACAAGGACCCAAATCCGGGTAGCCAGGAAGCAAATGTGCCGTACCTACCCACAGGGCTAGAATCACGTAAAACCGTCTAGAGTGGGCGGGTTTCAATCTGGACGCACCGACGTTCATCACTGGGAGAAGCCGGCTCACATGGTCTCGGAGAAGCCAAATGGCACCATCCAAATGCCTTTAAAAGGTGTAGATGAACGCGGGTTTGGAGTCACCATCACCCATCGTCTTAGGAACAAACACAGAGGACTGCGCCATGTCTCTTTCAACTCCCTCCACAATCGCCCATTTGAACCGGCTTGCCAACGTCTTTAAGCCCAGCAACAAGGACCAACTGCACTGTCGTTGTTCACCTCCCGCAATGGAAGTCTATATACCGTACCTGGTGGAGACATTCCGCCTAGAGGCTCTTGAATTGCTGCACGCTTCAGTTTATCTGAGACGCTTACGCCATTTGCGGAAACGAGTCAAACGCGTACAGCGCTGTACACCATATCGCTTGGTGTTGGCGGCTCTGGCCGTCGCCCACAAGTACCTCAGGGACAATAGCTACACAAACGTGGACTGGGGCCGCGGGTTTCACCTATCCAAGCCTGAAATGGACAAAGCGGAGCTGGCGATGTTGAAACTGCTGGGTTGGAAGTTGAGGATCTCGGACGAGGAACAGAAAGCGGTTGAGTTTTCAGGACTTCGATCATCTCAAGCGCCCTATTCGAGAGAACAGGATATCTCTGACGCGTGAAGACGCCATAATTGGAACATGAGGTTTTTTCAGTCCAT